TTTTTTTTTTTTTTTTTTTTTTTTTTGCCATTGAAATGTATCAAATCTTTCTGTTGAGCTAGATCTATGTTTCAGCCTGTTGCGCAACTTGAACAAATGTCCCCCGGGCCGGTCACTCCCCTCCCCTCCCGTCCCCTCCGCTGTTGGCCAGTGGTTGCAGCATGCGCCACATTCAATGAAGTCCACACAGCGTTCCGTTCTAGGTGTGCTTCCTAACTTTTCGTTGGAATCAGTTCCCCGTGTCATGCGCAGACCAACACATTTCCAACCCGAGATTTGAGATGAACAACAGGTAGATGTAATAAAGTTGATGGATTGCTATACGATTATCAAATATCAAATTAGCACTGATTGAAGTCTCTTTAAGAAATGCGGTGGCAACAATTTGAGAAACACTTAGTTTTAAGAGTTCTTGGACCACAATACCAGCTTGAGCACCACCGTAAACTTACGTTTTTGTTGACATGGGAGATAATTGTAGCGTAGCAAAACATAGTCACGTGGTAAAACCACAACGATGATTCGATGATTGGTGGTTGTGCTCAGCTGGAGGGGGTTGAGGGGGACGATGATTGGCTTGTGGTTGTGCTCAGTTGGGGAGGGTGGAGGGGGGTGCAGTAGACAGCTGCATGGAGTCAGTAATAATACACACATACATCCAAAGATAAACACACCCACACACACGCTTTCAATGTCAAGGACGTGAAGTGTTAGACAATGAATTATGCCCCTTTTCTTGTTTCTTTTTACATGGACCCCAACAAATAGACCAAAAAATAGACCAACAAATACAAATAAAAATAAATAGACCAATAGTTAGACCAACACATACACCAAAAATACACCAACACATAGTCCAACAAAACACCAACAAATACAGAACTGCCTATTTAAAATGGTGGATTTTTAGTGAAAGTCAAACTTCCTAGAGGATTTTTAATGTGACAAGAGTTACTGTGAATATTATTATATGTTTAAATAACGTGCCACAATAGTGAATATTATTATATGTTTAAATGACGTGACACAATAGTGAATATTATTATATGTTAAATGACTTGACACAATAGAGAATATTATTACATGTTAAATGAGTGGACACAATAGTGAATATTATTACATGTTGAATGACGTGACACAATATTGAATATTATTATATGTTAAATGACGTGACACAATAGTGAATATTATACATGTTAAATAACTTGACAAAATAGTGAATATTATTACATGTTGAATGACGTGACACAATATTGAATATTATTATATGTTAAATGACGTGACACAGTAGTGAATATTATTATATGTTAAATGACGTGCTGTGAATATTACTTGTATTTTGAATTTTGTGATTATGTGTGATTGTATGCTGTTAAGGGGATTATGTGAGTTTTTCATTGTCTCTAAGCTGTGATATAGAACATCTTTAGCTAGGGGTCTATGATCTGTCATCTTTAGCTAGGAGTCCATGATCTGTCATCTTAAGCTATGAGTCTATAATATGTCATTAATCTAAAAGGACAGTAGCATTGAATTTATTAATTAAAGGTTTGCCTAAATGTTCATTTCTAGACCTGACTGTTTATTGGCACATCAGCAACACGACAAAATGTTCATTTCTAGACTTGACTGTTTATTGGCACATCAAGCAACACGACAAAATGTTCATTTCTAGACTTGACTGTTTATTGGCACATCAAGCAACACAACAAATGTTCATTTCTAGACTTGACTGTCTATTGGCAAATCAAGCAACACAACAAAATGTTCATTTCTAGACTTGACTGTTTATTGGCACATCAAGCAACACAACAAAATGTTCATTTCTAGACTTTACTGTTTATTGGCAAATCAAGCAACACAACAAAGTGTTCATTTCTAGACTTGACTGTTTATTGGCACATCAAGCAACACAACAAAATGTTCATTTCTAGACTTGACTGTTTATTGGTACATCAAGCAACACAACAAAATGTTCATTTCTAGACTTGACTGTTTATTGGCACAACAAGCAACACGACAAAATGTTCATTTCTAGACTTGACTGTTTTTAGGGACATCAAGCAACACGACAGGCGTCTTATGTTACGACGACGTTGTATGTCAAGACGAGTGCTGTCACGATATGGACTTTGGCATGCCATATTGTTGTTCAAAGTATATGGGGTAAGTGATTACATATGTAAGATAAGTGCTACATATGAAATGTGGAGCATGCATGCTACATTTGAAAGAAAGATGAGATATGATTGCTATTATAGAAAAATGGGATATATACCAGTACTCCATTAGAAATACTGGATGAGTGCTAAATTAGAAAGACGGGATATGATTGCCTAATTAGAAAGATGGGATATATACCAGAATTACCATTATGTACGATTCTTTGTCATATCATTACTTATCAGTCTTAAATCTGTTAACTCTCTCTGCAGATTCATTTACCTTGGCCTGATGGTTGGGGCAGGTGCTATCGTTGCAGTGCTTGTTATCGCCTGCTACATTTGTATGACGAAAACTGAAAGACAACTGGAGGCAGCAGGTATGTTATTATTTGAAAAATGACGTAGGTGCATATTGTATGACATTGGTGCATATTGTATGTCGTAGGTGCATCAGAGATTGTGTTTTCTGTGGCAGTTCTTAAATGCCCCACATAACAATACAGCATCACATAAAAATCTATATAAAGTGATGGAAGCCTCCTTGTCCCCCAAATATTCAATTCAAGAGTTCATTATGAATAATGAATATTAGTCATATTTTTTTTTTCATCAAATCGATTCATCAAATCAATTCATCAAATCCTGTGATAGTCTATAATTATGTTTTCAGTTTTAATTCTTTATATTCAAGTAACGCTGGGTGGGTAACTGGGAAGATGTTTAAGTGGGTGGGTCGCTGAAAAGGTGGCTGGATGGATGTCTGATTGGGTGGATGGCTGGATGGGTGGCTTGATGAATGGATGGGTAGGTGCATGGATGGGTGGCTGGATGAATGGATGGGTAGGTGCATGGATGGGTGGCTGGATGAATGGATGGGTAGGTGCATGGATGGGTGGCTGGCTTGATGGATTGATGGGTGGCTGGATACATTAACGTTAAAAATGTGGCCTTCAGTCCGCACTATGCCACAGACCATCAAAACGATCTGCTGATGCTGACTAAGCAACCAACCTTTTCTCCTAACACTTTAATTCAATCTAGATTGGTAGCAATTGCTTCCCCCCCCCTGTGTTGATGCCCCTGATAAGTTAGACCGAAAATCCCCCCCCCCTTTTTTTTCCCCACCCCTCCACCCCTTTTCAAATCTAAGAGAATGTTTGAATCACGTGAATAACAGCCAGAACTTAATCTATTTTTCTACCAGCCAAACTCGAGGCGGCTAAAGCAGCCAACAATCATGGCAATGTGGGCGTGGCCGAGGCATCATCAGCAACTGACCAGACTGACGTTGAGAGTGAAGTGAACTCTGACCTCAGCCTGTCACCCCCAGCTTACAATGAGGTCATGCGAACGTTTACCCGATGCCACTCATGTGACGTCGGCAGGGTGCCAAGTTCCCAGCGTGCAGCAGATCTCGTCGACTTGCTCATGCGCCAACACAGCGAAGGGAATCAGACGCCAGGCTGTACATTGCCTCCCTTGGTGGACGTGGCGGCTCTCATCGCGCGCCATAGAAGTGAACACGGCTTGTTCCAAGGGTTACCTCCCCTCATGTCACATGACGACCTCAACAATAAACTGCCGACCTACGAAGAATGTACGTCACAAAGCACAAGGTCAAGGTCTAACACGTCAGACGAGGTTAGTGAATTTAAGGCGTCTAATCAACTCCTACAGACGTGTTCTCATTGTTTCCAGGGTGATAACGCTGCCACACAAACGTGTGACGTGAAGATGGAGTCGCAAGACAGCCATTTTGTTAGTGTGAGTGAAGCTATGCTGGGGGGAATGTATGGCGTAGATGATGCAAATGTTCAGTTCAGCTCTGAACACAGACCATCAACTCGTTGTTGTGATCTAGGTACTTCGGCAATTTCTTCTGACCTTGACACCACCACGTGTGCTCCAAACGGTGAGAGATCTCAGGGTAAAGCTATACATCTAACAGACGATGGCCTTAGAAATTCTGGAAGTGACGTCATGATGACAAAAGAATGTGATTTAATAACGCAACCATCATCACGTGATCACAGCACGAGAACCAGGATGGCTGAGTTGAATCAGTCCACGGGTCAGTTGGAAAAGTCCACTGGTGAGTTGGGTGAGTCCACTGGTGAGGTGGGTGAGTCCACTGGTGAGTTGGGTGAGTCCACTGGTGAGATGGATGAGCCCACTGGTGAGGTGGATGAGCCCACTGGTGAGGTGGATGAGTCCACTGGTGAGGTGGGTGAGTCCACTGGTGAGGTGGATGAGTCCCCTGGTGAGGTGGGTGAGTCCACTGTTGTCCATGAAGGGATAACAGCTTACGCGGAATCCAGTAAAGAAATGTCCCCTAAAGCACGGAACAACACTTGTTATGTCCAACATCCTGATCCAGTAGCGTCAACAGCGACATGTTCATCAGTCGTTGATGGTGAAGTTACCCATGAAGAAGATAATTTATCCTGCAGTAACTAACCCCTACCACCTCACTCCACCCCCTAGTGACTCTGTAAATATATTATCAACAGCAATGGCATCAAGACTCAAACTTTTCGTTCTATCAAGAGAATTTTTCCAAAAAGCTCTCGGAAAACATAAGTTTGACTCATGAAAGCAAGACTGAGGTTTGGAGTAGAAGAATGTTGCTTGTACCCAAGTTGTGATGCACAGACAAGGAAGTTGGGTCTCTGACTGTTGAACCTGAATGGACTTACAAGGCAGACTGAAAGCCAGTTGAGTACCAAGAGTTGGTAACGTCAGGAGCAGTCTTTGACCAAACCTCCCTCCCTACCCCCCTCCCCCCGCTCACGAAAACCACAAACCATGAGCCATAGGCCAAGAGCCATAAACTATGAGCCATAAACATCATAAACTGTCACAAATCTAAAACCAACCAATTATATCTGGTCAGATCAACCTATATAAGGCTGCAGTAACCAATTCTATTTGGTAAGATCAACCATAATAAACCTAATCTATGTGGTTAGATTAACCTGAATAAACCAATTCTATCTGGTCAGGTCAACCTTAATAAAGCAATATGCTATCTCGTCGGATCACCTTCATTACAGCAATTATATCTTGTCAGATCACCTTCAATAAAGCTATATAAACCGATTCCATCTGGTCAGATTTATGATGAATGGGCCGCACGCTGAAATATTTCTCCACCAAAAATTGTTTTTCGAGACTTGATTAAGGTTTAAGTAAATAAACAAATTGTGAATGTGTATCTGTAAAGTTTTCAAAAAATGTGCAACCACAAGAGGGAATCCAAATTAGAAATAAATGATAGGAGATCATAGCTGAACACATTTCAGCAGTGTATGAAGGAGTCAAAAGGGCAGAAATGCACGAAACAAACTCCTGGCAACTCCTGGCAACTCCTGGCAACACAAATGCCAAATTTATCCAGGAGTAAAGTTTCTACAGCGAAAAGTGCAGCCGAGACTGTAAAACAGGTTGGCCTCGTGATCCATTTGATGAAGCATGACACCAAAGCAGAATTTAAGTGTCTGGGATAAGCATGACCCCACAGCAGAATTATAGTATCTGGGATAAGCATGACCTCAAAGCAGAATTATAGTATCTGGAATAAGCATGACCCCAAAGCATAATTATAGTATCTGGAATAAGCATGCCCCCAAAGCAGAATTATAGTATCTGGGATAAGCATGACCTCAAAGCAGAATTATAATATCTGGAATAAGCATGACCCCAAAGCAGAATTATAGTATCTGGGATAGGATAAGCATTACCTTCAATATTAACAACATGAAGATGAGCAAGCTACCCTTTCGCTATTATTACTCCCCCTTTAAATGAAATGACATTATGTACCTTTAATTACTAAAAAAAAATTTAAATACCTACAATCAAAATGAAATCATTAAAAAAATCATTAAAAAAATATGATGAAAAAAGAAATAATATGTTGTCATTGTTCAGGAAATAAAGTGGTAGTCAATTATCAAAGTAAAATGTTTTGCATTCATTACGTGGGAAGCAAAAACCAGACTTTATGTTATCACTCCAACTGCCTCTTAGAAGTCTTCAACCTTGGCCGTTCAAAATATCTCTCACTCTCACCCCATTCAAATGTTGTTTTCCAGTCAGTGGCGTAGTGCAGCCCCAGGGTGGGTCAGGATTGTGGTTGCCCCCGTCCACGAAAAATACGTCATCCAACCTACTAAACATCTGGTATATCAATACGTCATCAAACCTACTAAATATCTGGTATATCAATACATCATTAAACCTACTACATATCTGGTATATGAATACGTCATTAAACCTACTAAATATCTGGTATATGAATACGTCATTAAACATACTAAATATCTGGTATATCAATACGTCATCAAACCTACTAAATATCTGGTATATCAATATGTCATTAAACCTACTACATATCTGGTATATCAATACGTCATTAAACCTACTAAATATCTGGTATATGAATACGTCATTAAACCTACTAAATATCTGGTATATCAATACGTCATCAAACCTACTAAATATCTGGTATATGAATACGTCATTAAACCTACTAAATATCTGGTATATCAATACGTCATTAAACCTACTAAATATCTGGTATATGAATACGTCATTAAACCTACTAAATATCTGGTATATAAATACAGAGATATTGCTAGGTTATTTTTTTATATTTTTGAAAGAATGACTAATGTGGCCTACAACACAATAATCCAACGTTGTTGATAGAGAAAAGGTATCCACATCTTATTCTTTAACCCAAGAGGTCGTCCATAAAGTACGCCAGACTCTGGAAAAGGGGTTGGGGGGGGGGTTCTAAGAAAGTTTGTTATACGAGGGGGGTAGTGTAAAGGTCTTGTGTGACGTCACAGATTTTATATTTTTATCTTATAAATACAACCTGAAATTGACAGTGATGTAAAACTGTCTGTTGTGACAGATGTACTCTGACCGTGATGGAGTGACAGGTGTATTATGACTGTGATAGATGTACTCTGACCGTGATGGAGTGACAGGTGTATTATGACTGTGATAGATGTACTCTGACCGTGATGGAGTGACAGGTGTATTATGACTGTGATAGATGGTTTCTCACTGTGATAGATGTATTCTAGATTAAACTTTAATTATTAAATTAAAATGTTAACAATTGTTTGGGTTCGAAAATGTGACGCACCAATAAGGGGGATTTGGGGGCGGGGGGGGGGGTCTCAGATGTGTGACTAATTATGATGGAGTAAGGTGGGGGGCTCTTTGATTTTTGTCGGATTGTGATAGGAGGAAGGTAGGTGGGGGGGGGGTAATATGTTTCCGCAAATAGCGTGATGTACTTAACGGACGGCCCCCTTAGATATGTGCTTAATAACTTGAACATAAACATTAGATGAGCGCCATTTGCGAACATTAAAATAGCTGTGGGGAACACATAAAACTTGACATCGAAACACAAACCCAAATAAGGGGAAGAACTCAACCAATTGCTTTAGCGCAGGTTTCGGACTTTGGTCATTTTTAGGCCACTTTTAGGCCCCCCCCCCCCGCTAACCAAGTGCACGGCTAGAGAACAAGAGAAATCTCCATGGGTAAATCAACTTCATTTTAAAACTTTTTGTCCTTGAGATCCCGTTAGCAGTGAGTCATTGCGTTTTGGATTATACATAAATGTACATGTCATTTCATACCAACATTTGTACATGCCATTTCACACCAACATTTGTACATGTCATTTAATAACAACATTTGTACATGTCATTTCTTACCACCAATTGGAGATGTAATTTTATACCTAAATTTAAACATTTTTATACATAGATTGGGACATGTCATTTGACTAAAAATCTGGCATAGCCATCTTTTACGGTTTGGCTCAAAGATCTGTGTTCGGACAGCAGTAAGAATGGTGCTCATTGACAGATTCTAAAGAGTTGTCAATTAACACCTGTCACACATAATGATATTCCGAAGTGATGCTGAGTACAGTTCATGTCAGTGTTGTACTTGGACAGCTGTCAAATAGTTATTCACGAACCACGGCAGGTCATTATATATGAAAGGTCATTTTCAGGTACCGAAAAGCTGTTCAATCTACAGAAGATACTTTTTACTCTTTTGAAGCAATACACTAATTGAATTTGTTTAAGTATACATCTAATGTTATAAGTACAAAAATAATAATACAAATGTTTAAGAAAATTGAAGTTCTATTTTCAATTTGATTAATTTGTATCACATTTAATGTAACAAGGAACGAATCAATAAATTGATGTTTTCATAGTATTGTATTTCTATTTTTATATTTCTGTAAGTCATTGCCATGAAATTTGTTTGAATTGAATGGTGTCCTTTGTCTAGGCATTTGTTTGAATTGAATGGTGTCCTTGGTCTAGGCATTTGTTTGAATTGAATGGTGTCCCTTGTCTAGGCATTTGTTTGAATTGAATGGTGTCCTTTGTCTAGGCATTTGTTTGAATTGAATGGTGTCCCTTGTCTAGGCATTTGTTTGAATTGAATGGTGTCCTTGGTCTAGGCATTTGTTTGAATTGAATGGTGTCCTTGGTCTAGGCATTTGTTTGAATTGAATGGTTTCCCTTGTCTTGGCATTAGTTTGAATTGAATGGTGTCCTTGGTCTAGGCCAGGGGTCTCCAAGCTACGGCCCTCCCATCCTGCCCATGGAGACCTTTTTGTCTACGGAAAACAATAATTACCGAAATTTACGTGTATCCTGCCAAGATCAGACGCCGCTTACGTGGACGTTATGTTTTTACCGAATTAAAATAGAGGCGCGCAGTAGTGCTTTACTTTAAGTTTTCTAACCG